GTTTTGTTTTCCCACTGTGCTTGAGATACTTGATCTTTAAACGGATTTAGACGGCAGACTGAGTAAGCAGTGTGGAGAGCACAAAAAACTCGAACTCGGCAGCTGGTCTTCATTTAGGCTACATCGCACGCTGTGTTAACCTGTCGCAAGTATGCTGCAAGCTAAAATGACAAGATCACGAAGATGACGAAGGCAGCGAACCATTGTGACCATGGGAACATGGCTTCTCTTTACATTTCCATGAAGGGCACCGGTAGCAGGCTCCTTTCTATGGAGCATATGGGATGCGTTGATCTTCGTCTCGACTGCATTAGCTAGCAGTGTCTCATTTAACTGTGAATACCTACAACCTTTCGATTGCTGCATTTTCTCATCAGGTGATCTCATTTGCATTCCTCCTCTGAAAAACGTATGGCGACAGCCAGCCGGCATTTAAACCTGCGTTAGTCGTTCGTCTGCACTTCAGTCGTTCCACGGATTGAGCTATTTGATCTACAGAGAAGACGGTGGCACGGGATCGAGCACTTTGGAAGCACTGTGTGGCGGGTTTGCCCCCTGGACCTGGAAGGAGAAGCGTTCATGCGTGATGAAGATGAAGACGATAATGATTTGCATAGAATAGATGAGTCAGTCGAACACCTCAAATCACCACGTAATAAGCTGAGCAGTCGCATAAGTGTGGCCTAGAAAGGTCGAAAACGCTGACTAGTCTACAGAAAAGACTTGCAATGCTATAGCCATCTCGATCTTATGTAAGAGAACTAAGGGCCGTTTCGCTAGTAACTGTCGAAGATGACACATACGAGACGGTAGCTGGACAGGACGAAGCTTGTTGAACAAATATAATGTGGATATGGTATCAGACCGCCGACCTTTACTTATAAAAGTGAAGGAGTATCGCTGAGTTTCATTGCTTGGCTGATGAGGGCAAGCAACTCCAACCGAAACTTAGTCCCATCTTTATGCCGGAAACTGTCGTGAGTAAATATTCCAAGCATCAGTTTTCAATCGTTAAGCAGTTGCATAAGTATTCGACAACTGCCATTGGCTGTTTTTTGCACATTGGTGAAGCGCCTTCCGATATCTCGACTACGGTACCTTTTCGAAAACCATATTAGCCCTTCCACGGATATAAATCTCATAACGGGGGTAGCGGATACTTCGATCTATGGAATTCCGTTGATAAAGAAAAGAATGAAAATGTTTACCATTAGTTTTCCTTTGTAATCTCTCTTACCATCATCATTGATGTTTTGGGTAATTAGGTTTTTTAACGACATCAAGGAAGGCGGCATTAATGCATAAGTACGACGTGAGCTCAGCAAAACTGCGTTTTCCTATTTTTCATCATAATCGGTGGTGTAGGCAAACTGTCGTGAGGGGAGCCGACACCCTCCGATATTGAGATATTGATTCGGTTCTTTCACTGTTTTCTTTCCGGTATCCATTGTATTACTAGACAACTGAGGATCACCATTCTAATTACACATCCAAATAGACAGCGGAGGTCTTTCTGTCATTTCATAGACTAACTTCATGTGTTCCAGCGCCCCAGTGCGCTGAACGACTTGTCCAGGTCCATCTGTCTGACAAATGGGCCGGTAAAACCAAGTTTCAGTCACTGTGATCCTTCTGATGTCTCATGCCCTTAATCACCAATTATCAGACACTTATGGCAACCCACAAGACAGTATTTACGGTACAATCGCTAAATTCAATTCAGTGGTAACGGGTATGCATGTTGCTTAGGTCACAACTTAAAGTTTGCGTTAGAACGTTCCTGGTTTCTGCACCTAGTCAGCATTTTCGTATTGCCTCAATGCACAGCTAGTGCTCAAATGCTATTAAGCGCCGTGAGTGCTATACTTAAATGGCCCCTCCCCACGACATCGAGAAGTAAGCGGGCGGTTCATCATCGCCATAAGTCCCTGAACATGCATCGTCATTCGCTATAGCAGTACTGGTGTAAACCAAAACCTTAAAGAACCCAAACGTGAAGCTCTAACTAGACGGTCCATCAGACTAGGGTCAATATAACGGATTATTCAGAGGCGCTGGGACAACTCTGTTCGGCCAAACTCAGTGATGCAGTACTGCATTCATGCAATGCGGTTACTGGAATACCATGGAGCTGTAGAGTGCTTGAAAGGTCTCTTTAAAATCAGAGGAGCGACGTTACTGTATGACCCTCCTTTCCATAAGGAGGTACAAAGCTTTTATCTGCGGCCGTATTAGTGTAAGCCAACTGCAGTTGGTCACAAATTGTAAAATTTTGACGCTCTCTAAAGCGAAGACTTTAAGAATCAGGTTGATCAGGTTGATGGCGATTCGCTGCTCCGTTGCCTTATAAGTTGTTCTATTTTTTGTCAGCTGCTACATTAAAACTTTCATCTAACTATCAATTACAATCATCCTGCGGCCGTTGACGGCACGGTTTGATCTACGTGAAAAATTCATTTAGCTATTGACATAAATTTCACAAAAATTGGCCCTTGCCATGCCTCTTTCCAGTCAGTGTTATTGCACATCACTGAAACAGTTATTCTAACAAGGAAGCAAGGACGACGGCCGAACTCCATTCTGCGGCGTTGGCCTCGACGCAAACTGAGGGTTAAATGGCAAGACCACGTAAAGTATGGCCATGAAGAGAAACAGGTGATCTCAGTGGGTGTGGAGATGAAGGAAAACGAAAACGAGGCTGACCCTGCTGAACATACTGCTGAGCTGTAACCATTTGCACCAGTTGCAATTGAGATTCTCGTGTGGGAGTCGAGAGCTAAACCAGAAGCACAGCAGACAACGTAGATAATAAAGGTAGGGTCAGATCTGTTCTCGGAGAGGAACAAGTTTCAAGTCTGCGAGTCGACAGACTGCGAGTGTGGCGGACATCACAAACCACGGACGTTCTGCTTATGCTTATGGTAACACGCGAAATATGTACGTTCTAAATAACCACAAAACAAACGTATGAATATTCAATTACCTGTCCCCGTCGCCGTGCCGCTGTGCAACAAACAACAGGCAGCAAACGCTAGCAGTGTGACGCTGGCAACCGCCATGGTCGTTCGGTGTTCGTTGGTTTCTGGCAGACAACGATCGTTTAGACCACCGTTTCGACTTTACAATGCTCTACATACAAAAGTGATGCTGTCAAGAAACCGGATCGTCTCGTACAAGGCAAGGGCACAGATGGAACCAGTTGACTGCGACGATGGTGCCGAGTTTCGCAGTTTCGCAAACAACCACGACGTTCCTGCTCCCCCAACATGGCGACGCAGTCGGCACTGCTTTGAGCGACGTACGTCACTTTCTTGGTTTATTAAACGTGAGGTTCAGTCGGACGAAGATTTTTCATTCAACGGAGCGAATGTGACGACAGACTAAAACGCGTCAGCTAAGTTTTCTGTCCTCGACATAAACCGTGCACGTGACCTACGGTACGGGTTGAGGTGAAGAGATCAACAAGGGTATGGATACTTGAAAGTAAACTTAAAATACTTCCCACGGCAGTAGGCCACCGAAGGTCGATGTTTCGCAAAAGTGACTGATGATGTGAAGCTAGAGATTTTGACGTCGGAAGCCAATTATGATTTGGTGCTAAGACAAATGAGAAGTATAATCTAATAATTTAATGACCGCCCTTGTCCACACATTCGCTGAAGTAAAGGAATCTTATTTTCAAACCCACTATATCTTTAACTTACTGGTGCAGCTGCTAATGGCAACATTAAACAAAGGAATATCGCATGAATGGCTTAATCATACACAGTTGGGATCAACTAGTCTGCCGTATGCCTGACGCTGCCGAATGTCAAAGAGCCTTGTTAAATGTAATGCCATGGGTCTCGGTTCGTCTTTATTTCGTCGAGAGCAGCTAGTTCGTTTGAAGTGGTTAGATTGTGCAGTTTCGGTAGGTTTCCTTATCATCTTTGCCAGTGCCATTTTCCAAAGGAAATATAATATTTGCAAGTATATCGAGGTGACCCAAGTGTTTCAAAGACCAATTACTAAAATCTGGATACCAACTTTGGCAATGACCTCACGTCCTGTATAGGATGACTAAGGCAGTCAAACTCCTTCCAGTTACTTATCTGTCACTACTTACTGAAGATTGGAGAAATAACATATCTTGGATTACAGACTTCCGTTAACTTCAACTGTATGTTTCTAAGGGACGCAGGACAATGACGAGGTTTCGAGTACATGATTAAAATGGAACGTTGCTTTGCTACTGTACAAATCGATAGAAATACCCCGTGCTAATTTTAAGCCGTCTACAATTTGACACGTAGCTGATTAAAGAACGTATTCAATACAGGTGCAGGAATTGCAGAAAAGGATAAATCCAGAAAACTGTTGTGAATGTCGCGTAGAAACCGGGTGGAGCTATCATCGGTGCATGCTAGAAATATTGGAAAAGTCCGAACTTCGTTCATCCGGCTCTTACACTCAATTGTTAGTTTTGTCACACTTTCCTACGTGATCTGTATCAGTTGTCCCCCCCCCCGTGCGTCGATTATGTGAATGTTAACGTATGA